TGCAAATCTGAAGAGAAAAACACTTACAGGGCTATTAGATAAGGGTCAAGGAATGGGCTGAGCTAAATTGCTCTTCAATAGAATCGCATGAACCAATGGGCCAAATGGGCTCTTTCTACGTTGTAACCATTTTATAATAATACAAAGAGACCATTTTTGTAGTCTCACAACACTTCAGCTTTGCACAGGCTGCTACGGGGATTAAAAAGTACTCAGTGGCTAGAAAATTGTGAAACTTACACAACGAGGGATGTACAACTGCACACAGGAGGAGCGCAAGATGAGTGTGGGGCCAAGCTCATCCTAACCTGCTTGACAGGAAGCTACCTGGATCAGCTGAAACACTGGTTTCACTGTGTGCCATTTGATTTCACTCTGCGCTCCTCATTTATACATGAGGAACGGAGAAGGGCAACTGCCAATATCTATGTTAGACATTCAGGCCCAAGCTTCCAGTGCAACATATTCTATGGATTGCTGTGATGGGGACAGTGTCTGATGAGGTTCTCCAAGGTTTGATTAGAAGCTGTGTTATGGTCAATGGAAAGACTATAAAACCAGTGCTCTACCCAATGCCAAGGATTTCCCACCCAGCAAAAGAAGGTAAAATTACTCCTGCAATTTCAGAGCTTATAATAATTGTTATCTATAAATAACAAACTTTCAAAAATTTCTCACACATACCTCTACTCACCTTGGCTACAGAGAGACGTGTAACTGGAACAATTTGTTCTGCATTGATATATAGACAAGGACTGGATTAGACTCAGCACTGGTGCCAATAATTCAAACACCATTATTACTTCTGAAATACAATAGGCTGACAAGCATGTCTGAATGCTAGCCCCTGAAGATGAATCAAATCCAAGCTGAAAAATGTCTGGATTAGATGTGTAAAACTGTGAAGGAACATTTTTTTTGTTTCTCTAGCTTTTTCTCCTGGCTCTTAATGAAACTTCATGAAAACAGTTTCTGCATCAACAGTCAAATGGGAAAGATCTTCCACTTCCCATAGAAAGGATGCGAATACAAGAGAACAGGAGTTGAGAAGTCTTGCTTTAATTGTATAGGAGCTTGTTAGATCACACATGGAGTACTACGTGTAGGTTTGTTCTCTTTATCTCAGTAAAGATATTACTGCCATAGGGCAAGAGTAACAAAGGTTTGCCAGACTTGTTCCGGGGATGGAGGAACTGTCCTATGAAGAGAGATTGGGAAAGCTGGTGCTGCATTCTCTAGATTTTCAAAGAATGAGGGATGATCTCATTGAAACCTATAAATACTTAAAAGGTATAGACAGGGTAGATGTAGATGTTTACCCCAGTTGGGGGAGTCTGAAAATAGGCAGTGCAATTTGATAATAAAAGGGGATGCCACCAATGTTCCATCTAAGCTTTGTGACTGCTCTGAGGCTTTGTAAATGCTGATTGGTACATCACTGCATTGATGCCCAGTTTTGGAAGTCACTGCGTGCACAAACCTCAGAGGTCTGTGTGCCAAAGGAAAGTTAGAGGGAGTATTGAATGCCAGTTGGTTCCGAGATGTGGAGAAATTATTGTACTCAGAGAGTTGCGGACTTTTTGAATTTTCTACCTCAGATGGCTGTGGAGACTCAGTCTTTGATCATATTTAAGGTAGAGGTTGATAGATTGCTGATTATCATTGGCACGCAAATGTACAAGGATGGGGTGAGTAAAACGTATTGAAGTGATGAAGAATGATGGACTGAATGGCATATTCCACATTTCTTTGCCTAGGCATCAAGGATCACCAAGCCTGAGCACACCAAGGTAAAGTGGTCCTCCTCAGACTGTTTTCATCTCTGCAGTCAATCCAATCTAATTCGCTGTAGTGTACGAATTGGGCTCCAGCGACTCAATGTTCAATATCCTGTGGTGCTGCAATGCGCAAGAGCCATATGGAACAGTCCAATTAATTTTGCTGGCTATCAACATGTTAAACACTATTTCATTTCATTACACAAATTGTGCAATTATATTAATAAATATTAATACAAATGTTACTGTCTTAGAACTCCTCAAAATAGCACTTGGGTAATTTCCTAAAACCAGTCTCAACCTTTTGACAATGAAGCACTATCTTGGTCTGACAGATACCTGCTATCAGCCAGGGCAGAATTGAAAACAGTTGCTGTTCATAAAAGCCTGACACTACAATATAAAGGAGGTTGTTTTGCTTTCTTGAAGAAAACTGGTACTGACATCCAACAACATAATAATTCAATTTTCAGACGCTTGCTTCAGCAAGATGTGCAGAAGAGGAGGTCTGGATAGCTTAGACATCCAAGGACCTGGAAGATACACACCTTGATAGTTAGGATATAGTCAGACTGGCATAGGACTGGTCACCAAGGGTTGAGCTACAGATGTCATTCGTATTAGTCAATGCTCCATGATGCAGTTAGTTAAGGAATACCACATGTGGACTTGTCCGCAGTTACCACCAGACCTTATAAGAGGCTAGGTACCTTCAAGGCAATTGTGGACAAGTCCAATATCTTGATGTGTGCAACTTTGTATTAAATCACTTAGCAGAAATCCAGTTCACCAGTAGGCATGTTGCAACTCCAGGAACACCTGCAACAGAGCCTCCTGTGACAAAACTTCCGAGATCAGTGGAAATTCCCACTTGGAAATACTATACTCTGCTATAGAGTGTCAGCTTTGGATGAAAGGTAGCACTCTGTTTTGAGTCAGGTGGTTGTGCATTCATTTCCTACTTGAAATTGGAGCAAATAATCCAAGTTGGCTGTACGGTGTAGCACCGAGAAGGAACCTTCCTTGACCATCCTGGAGTAGGACTTGAACCCAGAGCTTCCGGCTTTGAGTAACAACCTTGGTCTCTATATTAACTTCTTTATACCTTCATTTACTGTGAAATGTGACCAACTCAATGGATTTGAGAGTGAATATTAAATTCCGAAGTCCCATGAGCGACCTATTTCTGATTAAACATAAAACCTAGCATTAAGCTAGGTTGATAGAGTGACTTGATAGAGGTGTACAAAATGATCAGAGGTATAGATACTATGAGTAGACAGCCAGAGACCTTTTCCTAGGGTGGAGGTAGCTATTACAAGGGGGCATAGTTTTAAAGTGAGTGGAGGTAGATATAGGGGAGACGTCAGAGGTAAGTTCTTTACTCAGAGAGTGGTAGGGGCACGGAATACATTACCGGAGAGGTTAGTGGAGTCGGCCTCATTGGGGGCATTTAAGCAGCTATTAGATAGGCATATGGATAATAGTATAAGGTAGGGGTGGAGGTTAGATAGACCCTAGGATTAGGGTAAAAGTTCAGCACAACATCGTGGGCCGAAAGGCCTGTACTGTGCTGTACTGTTCTATGTTCTAAGCAGTATCACATTAACAGACAGCAACTATCGAATTTGTGACCATCTAGACAGGAAGGTGTCAATCCAAAATCCTGATATTTCAAAGTATACCCAATATTTCACACAGATTCATATGGTCAGAGGAAGGAGTGGAGATGTGCACCATCACTAGAGTTTCTGGTCTCTAATGCTTTTACTGAAGCTCAGTACAACTTGGTTACAAATCATAGGCTGAATGCTCACATTAATTGGTTACTACTGGGTAATGAGAAGCTTTCAATTTTAGAACTGAAGGTCGGTACTGTAAAGAGGAACTAAAATTTATTACCCAGGTGGAACCTTTTGCTTTCGAGGTGTATGTGGAGGAAGCCATTTACAACCAACAGCACAGGATGAAGCAAATATTCGATTCTGTGGACACCTGAGGGAAAATTACGTTGATATTTGCATAATTTTGAGATACTGATAAATCTCATACTGGAAATCTGTGATCTATAGACTAAGAAATTGATAATGACAGAATTTCAGGCAATTTGCAGTTTAATCATCACTTAATCATATATGAAAATTGTAAATAGCAAAATTCCGGGCAACAGTAGTAGTTACAATCTTTCAGTCACTATGAAGGCTATATAGAATTTCGAAATAGCCATGTTATTTTTTATTATGTAAGCTTACATGTTAAACACAAAAGATCAAAGAGAAAGTTCAAAATTTATGGCTTCAGCGTGGTTGAGTAACTAAAAATTATAAAAGGTTACATGGGTCAGACATAAATACAGTTTTATCCTTTGTCATTCGATGCAAACCTTTATTATGTATTGCTATTAGTTGAAAGTATGGTGGAGTTTAACATTTATTATGTACTGTTATTATAGTTGAGAGAAAATTTAGCATAATAAATTTCATTGATAAGCTTGCAGTTTTAATAGAGTGAGAACAGCAATATAGTTGTGTATTTAATAGCTATTTACAGAAGGTTTCAGGGTGAGAAAGGAAGTTCAATGTGACTAGCATTATGACTATAGTCAGGATGTTTGATTTCCAGATGAAGTTCAGTGCGGCTGGTGTGATCGGTGAGCAGTATTTTGGAGGATGAGTATCATTGGAATTATTTATGGATGCTATGTTGAAGTTTGTTCAATGTGTTTGTAGTCATAGGCTTGGGTCAACAGACAGGGAAACATTAATATAGGAAATAAAAGTATGTTGCTGACATTCCATATTCCCCTTAGGTCTCTCGACATCCCAAGGTGTGAAGTTTCATAGCCACAGGCACTGACTGCTAAATGTCTGTAGCTTCTGGGACACAACAAGAAAAGTAGGAGAGGTTTCATCATCAATTTGATTATATAAACTTAAATAATTGCAGCATCTTGAAATAAAAAGTAAAAGAACTATCTCACTTGCAGATACAATCACTTATCCTTCTATCCATGGCTCCAGTTCTCAATTCTTCTTATCATCCCCAACCCTTAATAACTTGGTTACTGCATTACTCTCCATTTATACCAAATTCTTTATTACATCCATTTTCTCCAATTTGCTGAAATTAGTAATAACCATTTTAATTAATTCTTCTAACTAGTTTAGACAACCATGATGATTTTTGTTTTGTATCCCTACATGAAAAGGTGAAGCTACTTACCATTTGGGTTCACTGTCAGTCAGCAGTTTGTGCTCATCATCTTTATTGAAAAGTGAGGTTACTTCTTTCCAACCTTTCAGACTTGCTCCTTGAACCTAAATGAAGGGAAGAGTTTATTAATACAGTTATGGCTAGTACAAAAAATGTGTTAAGGAGAAATCATGCCTGGATTCTCTTGATGGCTCTGTTGATAAATGCAATGTCTAGTGTGGACCAGCTATATAGATCAAAATGTCCACAGTGCTGAGTTGACTCCTGCTCTGGGTTGTAAGCTGATTTCAGCCCCATCAATAGTGAAGATGTTGGAATTAATGGTTTTGGAAGGAAGCCAACATTTTCACGAGTTCCTACTCCTCAGTACTAACTACTGAATTATTCTAGAATATGTAGGAGGTGTGGACTACTGGCTGAGAAAGAACCTAAAACCCCAGCTCACCTGGACTACAAGTAACTCCACTCTTACACAACATGCTGTGATGATACTACGGCTTTAAGAGGTGTATTTGTTTTTACTAATGAAGATCGAGACAAAGGTGTCAAGCAGTCTGCTTCAAAGCCCAGAAAGTAAACAGCTTGTAAGGCCTTGGGGTTCTTTTCCAAATTCGGAACAATAGAACCAGCCTGAATGGGTGGGGTAAGGCTCCCACAGAACCAGGATTTTTAGTTTTAGTTTTTCATTACCAGTTGTTGGATCTTGAAGCTGGGTTTGGAAGCTGCAGTACATCTCTCCCTGCTACTTTCTGAGTTTTCTCTTAATGTTTTTCCTCTTAGACTGGAGAACTGCATGTGAGACAATCTATGTTATCGAAATTGCCTTTACAAAATGTGTTTCTTTTTATTCATTCACAAGATGAGGGCATCGCTGACAAGGCCAGCATTTACCGTCCATCCCTATTTGCCCAGAGGACAGTTAAGTGTCAACCACATTGCTGTGGGTCTGGAGTCACATGTAGGCCAGGCCAAATAGGATGGCAGTTTCCTTTTGTAAAGGACAATAGTGAACCAGATGGGTTTTTCCAACAACTGGTAATGGATTCATGGTCATCATTGGACTCTTTATTGAATTCAACTTCCACCATCTGCTGTGGCAGGATTTGAACCTGCGTCCCCAGAATGTTACCTGGGTCTCTGGGTTTAAAAATCCACTGATAATACCATAGGGCATGTGTTTATTGGATGTTACTGTATTGGAACAATTTATTATTCTGTTAAGTTTTCCAATAGAGTTAAGTTATTCCAATTTCTTCTTTCTTTCATTGTATTTTAACTATAGTGTATGAAGAAAGTGTATTTTGCTTCAAGGCTGCTAGTTTGACCAATTAAATTGCAACTGGATTGCAAGGACTAGCACTTGTCTTTAAAGTAAGAAACAGTTAGGGTCTAGGCTATCTTTTTAATATATTTTGAGGGAGTTTGGTCTGGCCCATAACAACGTTGACTCTCTGAAGTGGCCTGGCAAGGCCACACTGCATGGAAGATAAGCACCACTGTTTTCAAAAGTACAATAAATGATGGGCAACAACACAGCTTTGTCATTAATACAAAAACAAAAACAGCAGACTGCAGAATTCTGAGCTAAGAACAAAAAAAAAACTGGAGACACTCAATGTGTCAGCCAGTGTCTGTGGAGAGAAACATAGTTAATATTTCAGGTTGATGACCTTTCATCGGAACTGAATGGAAGTAGAAATGTGGAAGTTTTTATGCTTGTGGAAGGAAGCAGAAGGCATAAAAGCAGAAGATCTATGAAAACAGATATTAAATACCAAAATATTTAATGCTGCAACAGCCAGAATGGTAAGGAATATAGTGAAGAAATAACAAAATGTGAATTTCCCACAACGACTCCATTCTGTTCTCCCGGTTTCAAATCCCCATCATATCTCCTTCCAGTGATGCCACCTTTCACCGACTGTTTTTAAAATACTTTTCTTTTTCCTCAGTTGAGGTTTTCCCACTTAGCATAGTTGAATAGATCCTCATGTCTAACCCACTTCATGCTTCTCTGCTTTTACTGTTGCCTTCACCTTCCACTCCACTAGACTCTATATTCAATGGCTTATCCTTCACCCTTTCAATCAGCATAATGCCACATTCATCACTTCTTCCCTTTTCAGCATTCCCTATGGACTGTTTCCTTTGCAACACTCTAGTCCATAACACTAGAAGATCATAAAAACAGGAACAAGACTAGGCCATTCAGCCCCTTGATTCTACTCTGCTATTCAATAGGATCATGGCTGATCTGACATTCCTCACCTCCACTTTCCTGCCCTTTCTTCATAACGCTAGATACCCGACTGATCAAGGCTCCATCTATCTCAGCTTTAAATATACACAAGGACTCTGCCTCCTCAGCTCTCTGTGGTAAGGAGTTCCAAAAACTCTCAATCCTCAGACGAAATTCCTCATCTCAGTTTTAAATTGGTATCCCCTAAAAATGTGAAGTGCTGAGCTTTCCCAGGAGTCACCAGGAAAAAAAAGTGGTCATGAGCATTCAAGGACTCTTAGCAGCTAATCACAGAAGTTGTTTCCACTTGCTGCAGAATCTCAAATCCGGGGAACAAATGAAAATAGATTAAGAACAAAGTGCTGGAAATACTCAGCAGGTGTAGTTACATAAAAATAATATTGTTTGTTAGCAAAGGGAGTGCATAACTGAGTCTTACTGAAAAACAGCATTCAATTAAAATATTAAAGCAATTATAATTAAATGTTAATTCACATATTTACTTGCAGAATTATACCACATTATATAGGGCATTTTACTGTCAAAACTTTTTTTTTATTGCACTGTAAATCAGAGATCCAACGTGTCCACGGTAGATATGTGACTTCTGAAGGCTGTAACCTTTACAAATTCGATTGAAGAATTGTCAATGAACAACGTGGAGCCTGAACCAAGAAAATGCAAGTTAGAGAAACAAATTCAACGTCAGAGCAGCTACAGAAGGTTAACAAAAAAGGAAAATAAAGATTGAACTGAGAGCAAGAGAGAGGCGGCAGAAATTTTTACAAATTATCTTTTATTAGAAAGCCTCCACCAAAAATTAAATTTGACAAAATGAGATTCTACGTTCACAAGTATTCATTTTCAGAGCCAAAGTAGTTGTTAGTAGTAATTAAAATTTACCACACTCTTGAAGGTTGCACTGCAACTGGCAACACCCAACAATTTGTGGTGAGTTTGAATGGTGAGAGGGGTTGGTTTGACTTAATTTGTTGGATGATACAGAGTGACACCAACAGCATGTGTTCAATTCCCACACCTGCTGAGGTTACCATGAAAGATTCTCCTTCTCAACTTCCCCCTTGCCTGAGGATGGTGACCCTTAAATTAAACTGCCACTTGTCTATCCCTAATGAGAAAACAGCCATATAGTCTGTTATAACAATGGTAGCTTTATCTTTACTGTTTAAAAAACAAACTGTAGATGCTGGGAATCTGAATCAAAATCAGAAAAACAGATCCTCTTGAAAAAAAGTCACTGGACCTGAAACGTTACCTCTGCTTTCTCTCTATGAATGTTGCCAGACTTGCTGAGTTCTCCAGCAATTTCTGTTTTTTGACCTTTACTATTATTTGGCAACTATGGGGGAAGCACGGCAATGTGGACAGCAACTTTCTGCTTTCCACATTAAACTGTGCATGTGTGGTTTGCACAATGTTGCCCAATTCTCATGAAAAACAGTGAATGCTGTCAGACGCACTATCAATTCTTCTGCAAAATCTGGGCCATTATCTTTGTTTATAATGTCTAACTTGAACATTGAAGAGAACATTGAAAAGCATCCAACCTCCCTCTTTCGGTTACAACAGCGCCCACAGAGAAAACAAAAATGCCTCAGTAGCCATAACAGATAAAACGTCATTCATACTCAGGTGAACTAAATGCTGCTTCTCAAAGGCATATACCACTCCTATGTTGGATTATGATGCAAACAATTAGAGCTTTGTCCTCAGTATTTGTGTTATGAATTGAGCCTTCAGTGTGCTCATGCCTGGTAGCACATTCTTGGTCTTTTTTTTCAGTATGGATTAAGATGATTGGTTTGGAACTAATCCTATAGTTTTATCTTAAAAATCACCGTGCATCTTTAAGTTAATGCAAATATTTGTAAGGAGTATATACAAGAATCCAACTTTAATGCAGTGAGGTGATGTTAAATAACATGTATCTATTGATTTTAGTGACTTTTCATTCTTGACAGCTCAAGTTAAATAGTGCTGGAGCAGCTTTGCAAGTGAAAAATCACACTATCTCCAACAGCATGCAAATATTTCTGTTAATAAGCTGGCCAAGGTCTATTGCTTGTGGAGCTGGATCTGGGCGATGAAGGACAAAGGTGGGAGACAGTGAAGGTCATGGTTACAAAAAAAATGAGTCAGGGAGAAAAGGAATGAAATCACAATCAGACAAGGTCCCAATTGTTGCAATTCAACCTCCCACCTGCTACATCAGGCCAACCACACCCTATTTGTGGCCTTCCCTGTGATGAATTGCCTCACCTCCAGTTGGCAAGTCTCCACAGGACTGCAGCTGAGATCAAAGTTGGAATTTGAATCTCCGAGCAGGAAAGCGGCCCAGAGGGCTGGAGGCATCCGTGGGAGGTCCAGCCGATTTCAATGGCTGGGCCTCAAGAACATGTCACTGGCCGACAGCAACCAGAACGCCTGGAAATTTGGCAGAAAGTCAATCAGCTGGAGAACAGGCACAGACACTGAGTGAAGCGTAGTTCTGGGGTGGGCAGCAGCAACAGACAAAAAGTCATGGGAGTTTGGGAGGAGATGCAGGGAAGCCGAAGCTCATTACACTGCTTGTCGTGGCTCCTCCTCTTCTTGGTCCCATGAAGGAAATTTTTAATCCATAGCCAGTAGTCTTATCAGATTCTTGTTGTGAGAGCCCCATTCAATCTCTCCAATTATGATCCCACTGAAGTAAAAGGAACATATAACAGATTAACCTGTCAGAAAAGTGTGTCATACTCCTGAAATATCAGGCATTTTTAAATTGCTGGAAATTAGGGACAGAACAGTTTATTTCTTAAAAATTCATTCTTTGAATGCAAGTGGTGCGGCAAGGCCAGCAGTTAT